TGCAATTGCCCGAAAGGAAAGTCCAGCTTCCCGAAGTCCCACTATACGGCCCCTATCAAACTCACTAAGTTGACGAAATCGTACAGGTCTCCGTACTCTAGGCATCGTAACCGATCGTAAAGGATGTCAAGAACCAAAATCCGCCCACGTTGATTCTCTACTGCGCCTGAAATATTCATTTTTAGAGCGTTAGTGAATTAAAAAAAAGCAGTATAAAAGCCGGAATGTCCAACTGATAAGGCTGAACATTTTTCACTTGGTATTTACAGTAAGATAAATACATTCACCAACTTTTATTAAAATAAAACCATTTAAACTGGGTGTTCGGATTTATGTCACTTAGTATATATAGGGTAACAAAAATACACTTTAGAATGAAACCTGAGAACAACCGAACGGAAGTAATTACTAGAGAGTCTAGTCCACCTCTGCTTAGCGAGTGTAGCAAAAGAGCTACGGTTTTGGAAGTTAGATAGCCGTGAAATAGATATTTTGGGTATGTGCGGTGGCGAGGCAAGCGCGGATGATGATCGGCTTGGAAGGGGATGCTATTTCAGATTTTAAACCCCTTACGCTATACGTGTACGCAGATCGAAGGGTAAAAGCAGTTTATCGTGTCGGATTCCAGATCAGCCTCGGACGTTTTGTACTTTTGATGAGAGATGCCAAAACATTTGGATGGTGATGATGTGACATATAACAATAAGTAACGTCCGTTTACCGACGAATGAGAAGTTTTGGCTTGTTTTCATACCGGCCACACTGCGTCCTCCCTTTAACTCGAGAACACCGACGTAATCGCCTTGAGTGGTGCAGACAACGGTCACTCTGGGATCAGGAATGGAACAGCATTGTCTTTAGTGACGAGTCTCGATTTTGTTTTGGCATGCACGATGGTCGTGCCAGGGTTAGAAGGCGACGTGGTGAAAGGAGGAATCCATAGTTTTTTGTTGAAAGACATGTTCATCACACTGTTGGAGTTATGGTTTGGGGTGCTATAGCTTATGGTTCCAGGTCACCTTTAATCTTCATCAGAGGTAACATGAACGCGCAGCGTTATATCCACGAAGTTCTAGAACTCCATCTTTTACCCTATCTTGACACCCTGGCAGATCCAACTTTCCAATAAGATAATGCCCGACCACATGTTGCAAGAGTCACAATAGACTTCTTTCAACATAATGATGTCACATTGTTACCATGGCCACCAAGATCTCCCGACTTATCCCCAATTGAGCACCTGTGGGATATGATGGGTAGGAGATTGCTCAATTTGCAACGTCCTCCTCAGACTCTAGAAGCACTTCGAGAGGAGTTGGTGGTTGCCTGGAATGAGATACCACAGGAGGACATTGACCACCTGATCAGAAGCATGCCTAGGCGCGTTGGAGAATGCGTAGCACATCAGGGTGCATCCACACATTATTAAAGGTCAAAGGGCTTTAAAGCAGTGCAATCATTTTGAAATTTTTTACTTATTATGCTTCATTAAGTACTTATACAAAATTTTATTAAAATAAAACCATTTAAACTGGGTGTTCGGATTTATATGTCACTTAGTATATAAGTTGTGTTTCATTTGAAATGTCTTACGCCACCGGATTCCGTTATCCTGGAAACGATAAGCCTGCACCTGGCAAACCCTACGCGCGCTCCGGATCCAGTAAAAACGCGGCAAGATTTAACAACTATACGCAGGTCCCCAAACCTGCACTACACTCCTTCCAGAATCTTTTCATCCACCCACCCCCATCGCATGCCGTCCTTGCCATGTGCACAGCGCAGATAACCGGGCAATGTATTTTTTATCAGCTTGGCCCGACGACCGAAGGACCGGAGGCGGTGAACTGAAGGGTCGCCGGAGATGCGAAGGGGGTCGGCGAGACGTCGGCCGGGGGCGGCGGGGGGGGCAGACAATGCATCCGTGGGGGTGCCTGGTATTGTGTAAATAATTGGAAACAGTGGTCATGAGTGAACGCCGCCGCGGCATCGGCCCCACCTGATAACAGGCTGCCTGCCTGCCAGCGAACGAACCAGCCGGGGGCAGATACACTCGACGGGGATGCTTGTAAGGGACGAAACAGTGGCGGTCGGTGCTTATTTTCATTTTCGGTTGTACAAACTTCAAAGGCTACCATGGTTTTGTCGAATAAGAATAAAATAAATACAGTACTTGAAAAGCAGTAAGAAAATTAGAAAATCAACGATATGCAGGGTGGGCCCATAAAGGTGTTGGCAATTTAATATACCAAAAATTGTTTTAAAAAATGTCATACAAGTACTAAATCCAATCTACTAAATTTTTTTTAAGGTGTGTGACGAAATCATTTTAGGTACCTATGAGTACTAGAAATGTTAGAAATCGCCAAAAAGTTTCTCTTTACTGATTAGAAAATAGTATGGCCTATCTCAAAGTATAGAGGTAATATTTTTATAGATTTATTTCTTATGATTGATTCCGTCAATTGGTCACAAAGTATAGGATGTTAGTTTTATATATATATATATAGGTGAAAAATTAAAGCTTCCGCCTTTTGTTGGGTACTTCGACAAAATTTAAGCAAAGAGGACTCTTTATACTTTTTTAATTCTCTCTAGCTTTCAATGGAGTTTGCCATCATCATCAGGAGCTGCAATTATAATGATAACAGTAGCAACAAAGGTGTAAAATGAATTTAAATTGACTCAACTTACAGTAGTATGTGAGGATGTTGCTAATTGTTGTTTACGTATAGGATGAGGGAAACGTCCAGTAACATGGTGAGAGCTGGATAGATGGTACAATGGTCAAAATTATATAAAATATGACAAGAACAAGTTAAAAACAGATTAAAAATTCTTTAAAAAACATTAAAGCATTACATCGTGAAGCCACTTGATGATTGCACAAAATGGTATATCCCCCCTTTTCGAAATGAATTTTTCGGGAAACACATTTTTCAGCAGCTCTATAGATACGCTAGCTGTATGACATGTGGTCCCATCTTGTTGAAACCACATTCTAGAAGTATTGCCTTGGAGTTCTTGCAAAGCTGGCACCAAAAAGTCTGTTATCATATTGCAATACTTGTTAGCTTTAACTGTCATCGCTTGCCCTCTTTCGTCCTCAAAAAAGTACGGTCCAATCATCTCGGTTGACGTAATTCCAGCCCACACGACTAGTTTAGGACCGTGAAGAGGACGTTCATGCAAGCGTCGAGGATTAGTTCCGGACCAGAACCGACAATTTTGTTTGTTAACATGGCCATTGAGGTGAAAATTGGCCTTATCACTAAACATCACGTTGTTGGAACTGTTGAATCGGTCGAGCATCAAATTGACGAAGTTAAGCCGGTTATTGGCATCATCTGGTTTTAATTCTTGGACTAGTTGAATCTGATAGGCTTTCAAATGCAAATCACGCTTCAAAATTCGCCGCAAGCTCGTCCTTTTGATGTCCAAAGCCTGACTTCTCTTACATGTTGACTGTTGCAGATTTCGCTGAACTGAAACACGAACACGCTCTACATTGTCCACGAGCTGTTATTGCTACTGTCGAGCCAGGCAACGGTGCGGCTAACAGCTTATCCCCCCTCCCAACCCGCGCCGACACTGTTATGTCCCACCCTGTATAAGATGTTCCATTTTAGTTTACCGTCGATTCAAAGCTTTTCTTAGACTATTCGAGAAGTAACATTAAGCGAAGCTTCTGGTCTGGACTTGATACCTGCCGTTGTATAGCCCAGGTGTGTAGCGGAGCTTGCCCGAGTTCTTTCGCGTCTCTTACTTTGCTAATCCCCTACAATTACAGGCCTATAGCTCTGCTATAAGTAAGGTGATGGAGAGTACGTCACGGCTTGATTTGTGGAGTAAACTCATTTAGTCTTATGGCGAGGCTCATATCGTTGCTCTTGACATGACGAAAGCGTTCGATCAGCTGTGGCACGCGGCCCTCTTAAGCAAACTTCCATCCTACGGCCTCCCAGCAACGATCTTGAAGGTCATTATGGACAAACGAAAATGTTCACATGGAACCTTCCTTTTTTTCACCGGAATTGGAAAAGGAGGAATTCCTACGTACGAGTATGACCTCGACTCTGACCATACCAAGCTCAAGTGAAAACAATATTTGCTCTAGCAAAAATGATCGGCAGCACAATTGTGAGGTTTTTGGCAGTGACCTTGACCATTACTGTCTAGGTCAAGTCAAAATTTCCAAAGGAATCTCCTCATTTTTATGATGTTATTGAAAAAAGCACGAAACGTTAAGTTCGATTGTGACCAAGACCTCAAAGTCAAGGTCATGTTATTCTTGCGAGGAGATCCCTTGATTTTTAAGCCAAAATTGCAGAGTAAGACATTTTAGATTTAAACGTGTAAAATTTTGACACGGCCTTGGAGGCGATGGTCAAGGTCACATTTGGATGACCCAAAAAAGCTAACTGGTCTGTCGATTATTTTCGCTGGAGCAAATTGGTTTCAATGTCAGGATTCGACCTTCAAATAGTCAAGATCATTCATTTCCTTCTCTTTCCAATTCCGGTGTAAAAAAGGGGGAGTTCCATTTGAAAATATCATTGAAATGACCTTGAAGGTCAATGCCAAGGTCATGGACAAGGACATTAATCATTTTGTCTCCTCGAAGAACTTCTGTTTGAAACTTTCATTCTAGGATGCGTAGTTTTCCAAAGATTTAGGTGGGGAGATTAAAATGGGACACGCTGTAAAAAACTTCAAGCCTACACTATAAAGCGATCAAAAGCTTTCAGTAGCTTGCTGAAAAACGTCAGCTCACTCACTGAGGCGACGCGGCTTGAAGAGAACCACTCGAAATTTCGTCAAACGTGAGACGTCTCGTCGCTGCATTTGCTTATATGTAAAGGAACCATTTCCCTTAATTTACAGCCTTGGAGAGATTCCCTAGTACGAGTCGCCTATGGCGAACGCTTGAACCCTCCACCCTCTTTATATAAATACCTATTTACTTGACTAATGTACTCATAAGAATTCCAGGCCGATGTTCATTGTGATTTAACTGGTTTATTGTGGAATAGGGATTGAGGGGACTGATCTTGAATCGAGGGCAATATTTTTTCGTCTGGAAATACAACGGGTACCGCTTCCTGAACTCTACTAAAGAACAAATACATATATAAAGGTCTAAAGAAAGCGCACAGTGGGCAAAAGTAAAAGTCGTAAATAGCTTACGAAACAGTTATTAACATGATTCAAAATAAATTCTTTTTGTCTTTTACGGCCACTATCAATTTTACTTAGTGCTTTCACCAAAATATAAACAAAAACATGCCAATGCTCTCCGCGTCATCATTGTGATTATACTAAGTGACATATAAATCCAAACACCCAGTTTAAATGGTTTTGTTTTAATAAAATTTTGTATAAGTACTTAATGAAGCATAATAAGTAAATAATAAAAATTTCAAAATGATTGCACTGCTTTAAAGCCATTTGACCTTTAATAATGTGTGGATGCATTCTCCAACGCGCCTAGGCATGCTTCTGATCAGGTGGTCAATGTCCTCCTGTGGTATCTCATTCCAGGCAACCACCAACTCCTCTCGAAGTGCTTCTAGAGTCTGAGGAGGACGTTGCAAATTGAGCAATCTCCTACCCATCATATCCCACACGTGCTCAATTGGGGATAAGTCGGGAGATCTTGGTGGCCGTGGTAACAATGTGATATCATTAGGTTGAAAGAAGTCTATTGTGACTCTTGCAACATGTGGTCGGGCATCATCTTGTTGGAAAGTTGGATCTGCCAGGGTGTCAAGATAGTGTAAAAGATGGGGTTCTAGAACTTCGTGGATATAACGCTGCGCGTTCATATTACCTCTGATGAAGATTAAAGGTGACCTGGAACCATAAGCTATAGCACCCCAAACCATAACTCCAACAGTGTGATGAACATGTCTTTCAACAAAAAACTGTGGATTCCTCCTTTCACCACGTTGCCTTCTAACCCAGGCACGACCATCGTGCATGCCTAAACAAAATCGAGACTCGTCACTAAAGACAATAATGTTCCATTCCTGATCCCAGAGTGACCGTTGTCTGCACCACTCAAGGCGATTACGTCGGTGTTCTCGAGTTAAAGGGAGGACCCAGTGTGGCCGGTATGAAAACAAGCCAAAACTTCTCATTCGTCGGTAAACACTTCGCATGCCAATAGGTCTTCCGTGTTCTGCAAACCATTCATTTGCAATGGACCTGGTAGTGGAGAAACGGTCCCTTAAGGCCAATAATCTTAGGCGGCGATCTTCACGGTCTGTTGTTCTACGGCGGCGTCCAGTGTCCCTTGCTCTTTGCGTACGGCCTTCTCGAAGCCATGCCTGACAACACCTAACCACAGTGTCTACACTTCTTTGCACTCTAACTGCAATTGCCCGAACAGAAAGTCCACCTTCCCGAAGTCCCACTATACGGCCCCTATCAAACTCACTAAGTTGACGAAATCATACAGGTCTCCGTACTCTAGGCATCGTAACCGATCGTAAAGGATGTCAAGAACCAAAATCCGCCAACGTTGATTCTTTACTGCGGCTGAAATATTAATTTTTATAGCGTTAGTGAATTAAAAAAAAGCAGTATAAAAACCGGAATGTCCAACTGATAAGGCTGAAAATTTTTTCACTTGTTATTTACAGTAAGATAAATACATTCACCAACTTTTATTAAAATAAAACCATTTAAACTGGGTGTTCGGATTTATATGTCACTTAGTATATATATAAAAAGGTTTTGGGGGCAGGTAGACGTTAACAGAAAGCTATATCTTGCCGATCATCGCCCCTCCCTCTGAGAAAAATTCCTATGGGTGCCCATGTATTGCACAGAAAAAAGAAGTTGCTGAGTACTGACTGCGAATGTTTCATAGCCTACTGATCCAATTGTAGTATTTTACATTCCCTCTTCTTCATTTTGTAAGACCAAAAATGGCATTGTATTCTACCGCATAAAAAAATGCTGGTGTACGACAGGGATCTGTGTTAGGACCCCTGATATTTTCATTATATATCTCAGACTTAGAAAAAGGGGTAAAATCACGAAGCATTACAATTTTTTGCAGACGATACTTAAACTTTCTATGCATTTAGGAGTAATGACTTGGAAACAGCTACTAATGAAATTCATCAAGATCTTGCCCTAATTGGAATGTTTGGTATAGTCATAATTTTCCTTTGAGTCGTTTAAAGACAAATATGTTGATATAAGCTAATAAAACAAAAATGAGTTTTAAATGAGGACATTAACATAACTTTAAAATGTAATAAAATAGTACCTGCGGATTATTGGAAGAAGCTAGGTATTATAATGTGTTGAACACGTAAACTCTCTAATTTCTCAGCGCTACGCTATTCTCGGAGTTTTATTTGCAAATAAGGCTATATTACCATAAATCTGCGAGAAAGCAATTATGTGAATCTTGTTGGAACAAGAACTCGCATTCAAAGTATGATGAATTGCAGACTTGTAAATGAACTCACAAAATATGATCACATACCGAAAGCCATTAATCAAATGGATACAAATTGATAAAATGTATAAATACTAGCTCCTAAGTCTGGCTCATAGGGTTCTTTATTCTAAAACACCATCAAATTTAGTAAACAAATTCATACTTAGATGAAATATGCATGGCATTAATATTGGTTATAAAGAGACTTTTCCAATTTCATGCCTCAATACATCTCTATTCATACATTTACAATGCGATCATATTATATAATTCTTTAGACACTAGTTTAAAAGAAACTCATTCATTAACTAAATTCAATAAGAAAGTTTTATTTATGCCTGTACATTGATTATAGTTTATTTTGTCGTTATTGCATACAGGTATTGATTTTCAACAAATGTTCAGTTTATATACATTTCGTATTGTTAAGGCGGTATCTAAATCTAGCTTTCTGTAACATTATTACAAATAAAAAAGACGTTGTTTATTATTATTATTTGCATACAGCAGTCTACAAAAAAAAATAATCTCATTTTCGAAATGCTGTGCGATTACAGTACTTCCTCTCCAGTGGAGCAGGAAGTGAGATGCATGGGGTAAAAAATTTAACAGTTTGTAGTTGGCTTGTAATTCATTTATTTATTTCCTCTCGCCAAAAAATATTGTATAGGAATTGTCATACATTTTCAAGTCTAAAAAGAACCTATATCTAACAAATAACAGTCAATTAGTAAAAAATTAGATTTATATATATATATAACTTGAGACGTGGTCATTGTCGTCTAGACCAGTTAGGTGAAAAATTAAAGCTTCCGCCTTTTGTTGGGTACTTAGGTCAGACCTCCAGATCTTTTAAAGGAAGGATTACATCACACAAAAGTGATGCTAGGCTTCATCCTGAAAGATGCGCTCTAGCATCTCATGTTAACACAACAGGGCATTCTATGAATTACACAAGTATCAAAGTTCTTGATAAAGAAAAACACCTTTCCAAACGTTTGTTCCTGGAAATGTCCCACATTTTCATGAATAACAACTGTATCAACAAAAAGACAGATGTTAAACAACTGAGTGTCATTTACTCATATTTACTAAACTGCGAAAAATTGGAGAACTTACATATCTCCCCAAATTTCGACTCTTCACAACCATAAATAGAATCTGCGTTTTGGCCGATTCCACCAGTAAATTTCATTCCACTCAAAATATAATAATTCTCTTCTCACGATTTATTAATAATTGTCAATTTAAATTCCCATTAATTAAAATATAGTTTATTCAACTGCCTCTGGTCGGTTTAACAATTTCTTACATAACATTCTGAAAATCACATCTGAAGTGATTTGGCAACGTTTGGCACACGCCCACAATTCGTTCCATCTTTCAACACAGACATTGACAACCTTCGGCATTCTGTCAAAGGGTTTCATCTCACTCATTATTCCATGACCACCATTTTGTGCAATCATCAAGTGGCTTCACGATGTAATGCTCTAATGCTTTTAAATAATTTTTAATCTGTTTTTAACTTGTTCTTGTCATATTTTATATAATTTTGACCATTGTACCATCTATCCAGCTCTCACCATGTTACTGGACGTTTCCCTCATCCTATACGTAAACAACAATTAGCAATATCCTCACATACTACTGTAAGTTGAGTCAATTTAAATTCATTTTACACGTTTGTTGCTACTGTTATCATTGTAATTGCAGCTCCTGATGATGATGGCAAAGTCCATTGAAAGCGAGAGAATTAAAAAAGTATAAAGAGTCCTCTTTGCTTAAATTTTGTCGAAGTACCCAACAAAAGGCGGAAGCTTTAATTTTTCACCTATATATATATACATAGAGAGAGAGAGAGAAAATGATCATGCGGAGAAAAGTATATAACAAAAAGTATGAAAATAATGGGCAAAATCCGCAAAAAGGAGGAAAGTCTATTCGAGCAGAAAATAGGATAGGTAACCCGAGCGATACGTATTTCTGCTGGTTGGCTTTATCAGGCAATGAATGCACATATGAAACTACAATTGCTGCATATATACGTATATCACAATATTCTTCTACACTATAAAAGTTGTTTTCAATCAAAGAGATTCTTAAATGTCCTTAGACTGTGGCAAATCTTTATTTCCAAAGGAAGTAGGTTAAACATTTTTAGGCGATTGATATTTGGAGATTTACACATAATTTGAGTTCTATAGGGTGGTATATAAAAGTCCTCACTAATCCTCGTATTAATTGAATTGTACTTGATATAACTTGCTTTCTGTTTAGTAGTTATTCGTTTCATCATCGGTAGTGAAATGTATGCTTTTCGTAGGCCGCACTTCAAACAAAGACGTTTACACTTGTCATGGTATGCAAATTACAGAAAATGTCAACCTACCTGTATGCTAAGTTTCTCTTTGCTCTTTTGTTCTTCGCAGTAAACCTGGCCGCTTTTTAATTGGAGCACAGGCTGACCGTCACGTCATAACCGGCGGTCGGATTTACGACCCCCGAATGACTTGACTAATTTCGTTGCTACATTCGTTGCGGGGCCAACACACCATTTTTCTTCCGGAGCGACCATTCGCGCCTTGTAATTCATTCGCATCGGCCTTGCACTGCTCCGTGCCTCGTCCGCCGTTCTCAGGCCTGCTTGACG